TATCTATCTATCAGCTATCTATATCTATCTCTATCTAATCTATCAGCCATCTATATCTATCTATCTATCTATCTATCTATCTATCTATCTATCTATATCTGCTATCACTATCTATCAGCTATCTCTGTCTGTCTATCAATCATCTTTATCATTTCTTATCTGTATTCATTTATAGACCAACAGAGCTTCAATCATGAGGCATCAACTTGACTTCCTTGAGCTATTCATAACCCTGCTTTTTACCATTAACTGAAAAATTAAGAACTTCAGATCTGAAAACATTACAATCACCACATCATATGATGTGTAACCATTCCATTGATTTCTGTGTCTTCCCAGTTTTTATCTGTTTTTGATTATCAGATCACTATTTAGTCTTCATTGCCATCTTAGGAATCGTGGATTTGAATTGTAAACCACTTAGGTTGAAGAAATGATCCTGACTTATATAAAAGAGAATGACATTTATGAAGGTAAAATATAGCAACAGTGGTTGAAGAAAGCTCTGGTTGAATGCTGGCTTCTGCAGCAGAGGAACTCTGTGCCAAATGGAGGTTAAAATGTCAATGCTGGCCTGTGGTTTGTTCCCTAGAATTGCTTCGAGCTGTACAACCCCAGCCACAAAGGACAGGTGATCAAAGCGTGCAAGACTGAAGCAGATGGACGGGTGGTTGAGGGCAACCACGTGGTATACAGGATATCGGCTCCCACGCCTGAAGAAAAAGAAGAGTGGATTAAATCCATCAAGTGAGGACTTTATTCATGGAAAGATGAGTAAAGTTGTGGTGCACTGGCCTAGAGGTGGAACTCTCACCTCACAATCAGGAGGCTGCAAGTTCGATCCTAGGTAGAGGCAGATATTTCTCTCTCTGGGCACAATGAGGAATATATCTGCTGAACAAAACTCCGCCTTGGTGACAGGAAGGGCATCTGGCCAGTAAACATTCTGCTAGCTCCATTCAGCTGCCCAAACTCCACCCCGCAAGGGATTATGGGGTCATTAAATAATGATATCATAAGGATGTGTTCACCATATAAGGTAGTCCTTACCCTACCACCGCAATTGAGCCCAAAATTTTAAGTTGCTAAGCCAGACATTTGTTAAGTGAGTTTTGCTCCATATTACAACCTTCCTTGCCACAGTTGTTAAGTGAATCACTGCAGTGGTTAAGTTAGGAGCACGGTGGTTAAGGGAATTTGGCTTCCTCGTGGACTTCGCTTGTCAGGTCACAAAAAGGGACCCCTATGATCCCTGGGACCCTGCAAACGTCGTAAATAGGACCCAGTTGCCAACTGTCCAATTTTGGATCGCGTGACCATGGAGATGCTGCAACGGTTGTGTGAAAAAGTTAACTCTTTTTTTTTCACTGCCTTTGTAACTTTGAACGGTCATTCAATGAACTGTTGTACGTCGAGGACTAATTGCAGTTAATCCTCAACTTACAACCTTTCCAACAGACACTTGGGAAGGGAGTGTATTTTAGCCGAAAGTACCTTAGCGTTTGAGAAACAGAGTGGAAAGTAATTGCCCAAGGTCCATAGAGAAGCAGTGGCTTGTGCTTGTTGTGGTTCGCCGGCAGAGGTATCAGACAGTAAGGATGAAAGGGAACCAGTCAGGAGGTCTGGCGGAGGGACGAGGGTTCTGCATCTGGGATGCAGGGATGGGACCAGGACTCTCGGAGATTGGGGTGCTGCCTTCAGAGCTTTTGGAGTCAGGCAGCAGCGACACAGAGGACCCCAGGGAGCCTGTGCCCAGTGCGCGTGTGCGCAGGGCTGCTAGAAGGAGAGAGCACCTGAAGCAGCAAGGGCGACTCTGGGAGTAAGGCTGGAAGGTGATGGCCCCTCCCATAAGGGATAAAAGCCAGCCCTCGGGGATGTGTTCTTCGCAGGAAGCAAAGAAGTTCTTTAGGCTCTGAATCTTCACTGAAGCTCTGCTAACTCTGGTTTGTTTTTGAAACTTCTGCTGGTGGATATTTATCAATAATTAGACTTCTGTTCTTGGCAGCCTTTTACAACCTTGAAAGGGGCTTGCTTTTATCTCAGACAATTAGGTTTAAATCACTCTTGGCTGGGAATGCAAAGAATTCCCAGCGCCGCATTAAAAAAAGGTTTGCTTTTATACACAGTTTGCGTTTGTTTAATTTGAACAAGGCTTGGGTCAGAATAGTCCTTTAGCTTGTTATGGGTCCAGGCAGAAATTTTCAACCTTGGCAATTATAGGACGGTGGACTTCCAGAATCCCCCCCAGTCCACACATTTTAAAAACTGCCGAGGTTGAAAACCACGGGTGTTAAGAGTGCAAACCTAGCCTAATGATTTATTATAATTATTTTCTTTCGTTCAGGGCAAGCATCAGCAAGGATCCTTTCTATGACATGCTGGCCACTCGGAAGAGACGGATTGCTAACAAGAAGTAACTCTTGAGGACGGACTCTCATCATCCCTGTGTCCGGTGCAGAGGAAACCTGATGCACCCCAACAAAGCTTGTGTCTTTACTGTCCCTTTGGGAGTGTTGGTGGAACCACAACCATCTCCTGTTCGTCTTTACTTGTTGGGGACTGCGATCCGTCGGTGTCCTGTCCTCCCTGGTAGAGGGAGATTTTTTTTCCCTCTGTGTCTTTTAAGAGTCTTGTTCCTACACCGTACATCCAAACTATTGTCCGTAACGTTGAACCCCCACCGATGTGGCTGGCGTGTGTTCATATATCTCCCTCTCTTCTACTAGACGGCCTTGCTTGAAAAAGCTTCCCGGGGAGTTGCTTTTCTCCCCACAACTGGTATTCCCCCCGCGGTTTATTTCTCTTGGGTTTTTAGCGCAGTCCTCCACGTTGTCTTCTCCAAGAGATTCCCGTTCCGCTTCCAGCAAACTGGATCGAAGGGATCGCCGATCCTTGCTCAAAAAATAAATAAATAAAGGCAGCTGTTCGTTGGCAGGTGAGGGGGGGAAATGATACCTTAAATGACACAGGCTGTTGCTGTGGAAGTTGTGCCCCTTGTACACATGTCCACAAGAGAGGAAGAACCTGCGGTGTGGAGTTCGAGAAACCATAGCTGTTGCGATGGAGCATAAAGCCACAAGTGAAACATGGTTTATCCGTTTTGGTCAAGACTATCTGAAATGATGAGGGTTTTAATCTCAAAGGGTTAGGTCCGTTTATCCAGCCCTCTGTTTAGAAGACATAAAATTGAAGGTTTCCTTCAAGAAAAACAAGACGTTTTGCCATTTTTTTAATCCAACGGATTGGAAATCCTCAGTTAGCCAAAAGAAAAATATGTAAACTTCCTAGTGTATTGCTGGGCATATGGATGATTTTAAAATGTTGGTATCTGACAGTATTTTCTCAGGAGAGCCATCCGTGGCTGACAACAACAGTGAGATCAAAATAATAGCGTTGGTGGTCACCAACCTGATGATATCAAGAACAGGGATCCCAATTGGGCCAAAACTTTTCAATGGTGACAAGGCCAGTAACGAAATTAGAAAAGGTTTAGGCTTAGCTTTTAGTTTAGTAATTTAATTTTAGTTTAGAGGAAAGGCCTCTGAAAGTTTTTGGCTCCTCAAGGTACTACCCCCTTATGATGATACCAAAATCTCCTTTCACTCTTCTTTGTGCTTTGCAACCAGGGTGTGTTTCCAAACGACTCTAGGGAGAGTGCAGAGAAGAGCAATGAAGATGATTAAAGGGACTGGAGGGTGAAGTATAGGATGAAGAATGGTGGCAGGAATCGGGGATGTCTAGTCTAGTGATAAGAAGGACTAGGGGTGACACGATAGCAGCATTCCAGTATTTAAGGGGCTGCCACAAAGAAGAGGGGGTCAATTTAATTTTCCAAAATACCAGATGGGAAGACAAGAAGCAGAAGATCAGGAGTCTTCAAACTTGACAGCTTTAAGGCTTGTGGACTTTAACTCCCAGAATTCCTCCTCCAGTCATGTTAGCTCAGGAATTCTGGG